CATGCTGATGTAGTTAATGCTTAAACTTGGAAGGTATTCCCCCTAAAAAATCCAGTCAAGCCACTGTATTTAATTTTGTTTTCTCTGTCATACCTTTTTCTTGCAATCTTTCATAGGTAAAGAGAGATGAGGAAGTGAAGAAACCTATCAGGTCTGGATCCCCCAATGACATTAGGAACAAGGAGGATATCTCAAAAAACGATCAGAAATCTCCCCTGTACCTACTAAAGCTGTTATCCCACCTCTCAATTCTAACAATGAAGATAACAAGTGAGGTCTTATTTGCAGAAGGCGGCTATTCCTGAAGAAGGCACAGATGGTGACAGGTGAAAGAAGGGAAAAGGGACGGGCCTTGCTGGAAGCTTTGGAAAGGCCAGGCATCAGTCAGCTTCAGGTGCGGGAGTTCCTAGAGCTGGCTGATGAAAAGGGACAAGTGAGACCAGCCCCTTCAAAGCAGTCTGATAAACCTTTTTTCATTCCTGAGTCTCCTTTGTAATAGTTATCCTTTTAGTTCAGCTCGTCGTTGTTTTGTTGTTTTTGTTTTGTTTTTTATCCCATTCCTCTCCTGAGAATTTTGCTGAGAAACTTGTTTTGAAGCTAGTGGCTTCGTTTTGTAGTCACTGTCTGGCTTATGAGCTAAATCTTACCAGAAGACTGTTTAAAGGCCGTGTAGTTCACAGCGTTCAGTTACAGATGCAAATTGAAAATGTTATTTTCAAAAGTTGGGGCATGCATAGAAAGCATGAGATGGTTTCGTGGTTTTAAAGTAACACAGCTGCAGTCACAAATTTCGCTTTCCCTTTATTCGCTTTTATTGCTACCCTTTTTTTCTTTCAATGGACACTACTGTTACTGGCTTCATTTGGGTGGGGAAATATTGGGAAAGCTTTTAAATAGTAGAATAGCAGGAAGTGATTGGTTAATTGGAACATAATTATTTTTGCAATTTTTAAATCAATGTTACATGGTTTTTTTGTCTTTTCCTCTGGCCCCCTGTACTGAATATTTGTGCTCACTCTTCCTCTTCTTCAAAGCTTTCTTTGACAAGGGCATTGAGAATGGGATGAAAGCAGTGCAGTGGCTATAAAGCTAATAAAATACAGTGCATGATGCAATGCCAAAGAAAATTTTTTGTTAAGTACTGTTATGAGAGGAGAAGTAATAGTAAAGACCTTTACTAGCTTGTGGTTGTTACCGCAGGTGCTATGTTTCCCCAATGTAGGTCATGTGTGACAACATTTAGGGCATGGAAATCAAGCCTAGCCATGTGATGGTGCTCCAAAAAATGCTTTCTTTAAAATTGTGTATAAGTCACATCAATAATTTTTGGACACAAGACCTATATAAATTTTAAGGTTATGATGGGTAAATTGTTGTGAGAACACCTCTTCATTCACACTGGGGGGAAAGCAAAACACAAGCTAAAAGGAATTTACTGTCTCTTCTTAAGATGTTATACCACTGTCTAATATTCAGCATAAAAGCTGCAATCCTGCATTGAAAGTCTTTGGAACAATGATTGAGTATTTGTAATTTATTTGTGCCCTGGCTCATAGCCAGGTGCTACCCTTTTGAAAAATACCCTGTGTTAAATCTATCACTGTTTCCCCACACCCTTTACATATTGAAACTGTGTGCATATATCCAACATATTTCCTGTAGGGTGCAGAATAGGGTTGGGCATGCATGATTTTACATGAAAAACACAAATTAACTCTAACTTGTTATAAGAAATTTGTCCATGCTTTTCTCAACAAAGGTATGATTAATAGCAATCCAACAGAGGAGGAACGGTAAGCCTTGCTGGAAGCAGTGAAATATTGTTTCAACATGAGAAGAGAAATTTCATATTTCCGAGCGGCCATGCAATATGTTCCATTTATTTTATATCACTGAAATACTTAACCATTTCACTTATTAAATGAATAATTTTTTTTCTGTAAAAGGTGTGAGTTGTTATATTGTACCATAGCAGTGGTGATCTTTTCACATGCAAAGTAGACTACGTGTAGTCCCCCATTTTTCCTCAGGGATAGTAGAGCGAGCAAAACGCGAGCGCGCGTAAAAATCACCCCACGCGAGAAAAGGCGCGCGTGGGGTGATTTTCACGCCCACTCACGTTTCGCTCGCTCTACTATCCCTGAGGAAAAATGGGGGACTACTCGTAGTCTACATGCAAAGATAACTTACTTGTTATTTTGACATGTGAAGATATCATGTTTTCGAACACAAGCTCACCCAATATTTCATTGGCGTTTATAAAAATATGATAAAAAGCATATTTCTTTCATTTTTCTGAATTGGGCCTTTATGGAAGAGATCTAGAATCATCCAGCTTCAATTTCTGTCTACAGCTGGTTGATGTGTGAAGTGACCAGCGCTGATTTATGTAATGTTTTATATAGCTTTTTATCACTTAATGTTTTTTACTAAGTATTTTCAAAACAAATAATAATTCAATATTGCTCAGGTTTAAAACTTCAGCTGTTCAATAACTTCATACATTTTGTATCCTTGTAATGTCAGTTTCAATGTTATGCCTACCGCCTACCAGTATGTTTCTTTTAATAATTCTACTCAAGTGTAGCTCATATTATAGTTACCATTAAAGAACAAAGCATATACTTGTGTACTGTCCTCGTTTCGCAGGGCTTTTGCCCCGTTTCATAGCTTTACCGTGCTTGTTTTGACTCGTGGCTTTAAGCGTGCCAGTCCGTCTCGAATAAAGGGCCTGGGGGACTTAGGGTTTAAAGAACGAGTTATGTTAGGTGGGTACCGTGCTTGTTTCGACACGTGGGTTTAAGAACGCGTTATGCCATTCGCGTAGCGTGCTCGTTTCGGCTCATTGCTTTAAGAACGAGTTATTATTTTTGTGTAGCCTGCTTGTTTTGACTCATCGCTTTAAGAGCGACTTATGTGTACCGATGTCCGTGCTTGTTTCGACTCATGGCTTTAAGAACGAGTTCTGTTGCCTGTTAGGCTTGCCATTCTCGACTTAGGGCTTAAAGAACGAGTTATGTTACACGTTCAGTGTGCTTGTTTTGACTCATGGCACGACTAGACTTCCTGAGATTCCATCGGAATCGATGTGTTTCCAATGGATCCGATGGACTCCATAGGACGACTTTCCAACCCTCCTCTAAGTATTGCTTACACTTCCGGTTTCATGTCATGACTAAACTTCCGGTAACTCAAGTGGACTCTACTGAACTTCCGGTTTCATTTTTCGACTAGACTCCGTCGGACTCCAGGTTTTGTCCACTGGAATCTGGTCGAGAGTATTGGACATGTGTGATGGAGAGGGGGTGAACGTTTGATAAATTACGTGTAGTTTGGCTTCACCTTTTTCAGCTTTCTTTTTTTAGGTATTTAAGGAGTCTCTTTCAGCCACAATCCTTTGTGTCCATATGAGTTTGAAGCAATCATTTTAAGTTCAGGATCATCATTTCGTCTGTTTCCATCACGTTATTTCTCAGAATTCCTTCGCCTTCCATCCAACTTCCGTGATAAGCTTGGTTGACCATCAATTGCTAGACTTTCTTTGTTTTCGTGAATAGTGAGACCAACTTTTCCGTAACTTCACTTTTAAAGCCCGTCTGGACTAAAGTTTTTTGGTCAATTTGTATAAGTAATAGCATGATTTGTAGTGATATTTGGCATAAATACCACGAGTGATATTTCGAAATTGTTATACGTAATTTCACGAGGCTAGTGAAATTTGAGACAATTTTGAAATATCACAAGTGCTATTTATGCCAAATATCACGTACAAATTATGCTATTATTTGTTTACACTACTACCCACAAGAGGTTTGTAATTTTCACATGTAGGTATTTCAAATTAAGCTGAAATACCACTGTTCTAAGCCAATTAATCAAATTGCAGGAAATTTCTGATGTAGTAGTATAAGCATACGAATACCGTGTCAAATTTGTAATTTATTTTACCTACCTTTATCAATAGGCCATTTCCGAGTTTTCCCGGGGCCTCTGTATCAAAACGAGGTTAAGTGCTCAGCCTTTGATATGCAAATGATTTTTCATTCTCTTGCAAATAAAACTCATTTTCACAAGAAAGGTTTTGCGCTTGGCCTCATTTTGAAATTGAGGGTTTTGGAACTCTGAAGTGGCCTATTAAGATGCGATGCTTTTGTATTCACGTGATGAATGATTTTGGATTATTATTATGCCTTTGTCGAGCGTGCAAATTTGCGTCTCGCGTGACTTTGGGTGGATCCTAAAATTTTAAACTGCGCGGATAAAATTTCAAATCAAAATGGTTTTGGTACAGTACATTTGTTACTGTTGAATGTTCAGTGAGATTTAGACTGGGAGCTCCGAATCCTTTGGCAAGATTGACCACTGAAGTCCACCCAAATCGGCAAAAATGATATACAATTTTCCCCCAATTTTTACGAATCTTACAGTTTAAGCAAACACGTTTGTTCGAATGCTTGCGTCTCATCCATAAATATGCTTTTAGTCTGCTGTTTCATTTAAAAAAGTTGGTTTGCTCAAAAATTGAATTACGCTACAGCTTTCGAACGTGTTTATAAGCAATATTTACCGCGAAATGTAAACATTACTTTTGCCTTGATCGAGTTTCAAAGGCGATGTTTCCTGCAAGATTTACCGCTAAATGCTAAACATAGAATCTAGTTTGCGTATGTTTTTGTTTTATTTACGTCTGAAAAAGTCTCCAAAATCCCTTTATATTGATTCGAAAAGGGATTTAGCCAGATTAAACAAAGTTCTAAAAGCACTGGTTTTCAGTGATAACAAGATAAGTGTAATTTGAGCCGCTACTTTTATATCGAAAAACACGTCAAAATTTTCGTCTCGTGCGATTCGCCAATTTCACTTGCGTTAATTAAATGCTCAGTTAGATTTAGGTTAGGACCTACGAACAATCCTTCTGGAGGACTGACGATGTTAGTCAGCAAAAACACGGTTTCCTGATATTTAAAGTAACAAAACAAATGCAGTGAGTTACATAGATACATACACACATACACACATACATACATACATACATACATACATACATACACACATACATACATACATACACACATACATACATACATACATACATACATACACACATACATACATACATACATACTTTATTGCACAGCTCCCCCTTGGTGGCTCTTCCGCTATACATACATAAATAGGCCCTCGTTCTTTCTAACACCTCAATGGTGCTGAACAGCAGCTGTGAGTCTTGGAAACAAACTGCTGATCTGCTTTGAACTTCCTTAGTCATGAATACGAGGTGGCCTCCTTCGTGTCTCAGTTCTTTTTTTTCCCTTAGCTAACTGGACAGGACAGGGTCTGCTTTATATCCACTTCTCGCCCCTTCGTTAAATTTTCCAAGCAGAATTTCCTTATTACCTTTTCTGTTATTTATATCGATTAATAGTGAGCTCTTAAGGCCCAACCCGGTTGTCTTACGTTACATATTTCTCTGAAGCCACTGGACTGTTCAGCTGATACAGTAATTCTGCTTTTGCCTTGAGCGGTTGATGATGATGACTTATTGTTGGGATTACTTGTCCTCCGACCATCCATTTCAAATTTATTATAAAGTTTGTCAAGTGTTATAAAGAGTGACAGCTTATTTTACTACAAAGTGCGATGGTCTGTTATTAAAAAGTGCGACAATTTTATTACAAAGTGCGACGATTTTTACGAGGTGCGACAGAACAACGTTAGAATTTCTGAAATTTGGAATCAGTAAGCATCCAGCCCACCGAGATCGGAGGCGAGGGTACTGACTTCCTACATGACTATCGGGAGTTTTCTATCCCTTTGATAGGAAGGGGATACACTACCAAACTACCAACTAACTCAACAACGCTGAAAGAAGAACACGTTCAATGGAGCAGCATGAGCAGCATTTTGCAAGAGACCCTCAGAATGTGAAATCGTACAGTGACATTATCATTGAGCAGGAGAAACGGGTCTTCACACAAAGAGTGACAGACCCCGAAACCACTGTAGGTACCTGCCACTATCTCCCACACCATGCCTTGTTTAAGGAATCTGCAACTACCCCAATACGCGTCGTGTAAGACTGCAGCCGTTGACAATCCCAAGAACACCCTAGCCTTAATGATACTCTGTTACCAGGGCCACCTATTCTTAATGACTTAACTGCTATCCTACCCCGATTCCCCCGCCGTACGTTTGGTTTTGCAACTGATACTGAGAAGGCTTTCTTAAACATCAGTCTTGTTGAACAAGACAGGGATGGTACACGCTTCTTCTGATTGAGTTACCTCAGTGACCCTAACGGCCCCTTCCAAGTTTACCGCTTCAAGGTTATCTTCAACCATTGACCATAGATAACCAACAGGTCTATCAGCACCATTTCCAGGCTCACCTACGTCAAACACTACGTCCTGCGGTTTGTGCCCAATACCAGAAAGCAGAACAAGAACAACCGGGAGCTCTGACAACACAGGAACTGGCTCATGCCCAGAGAGAATTTATCAAGAATCGTCAGCAAGTGAGTTACCACAAGGAGATCTCCAGCATGCTCTCCAAATCTACGCCTAGAAAACCACTAGTTCGACAGCTACTCCTGTTCTTAGATGATACTGGTGTTATCCGTTTCGGCAAGAGGGTTCTCAATGCGCTAGTTTCCAAATCTACCAAGTTCTTACTCCTCAGACATCAGTGTCACGCATGTTAATCGATTATATGCTTGCGCGAATTTCACACTGAATCTCGTACGTCTGAGATACTGGATTTCTGCTGGACGCCAGCATGTCAAGAAAGCGATCAATCACGGCGTCACTTGCAAGACGATTATAGGATAGCGTACAACACCCTGACCCATCTCTTCTTCCAAAGAAAAGACTCACTCCAGAAGAACCATTTACAGTCTCTGACGTAGACTTTACAAGAGCTTTATACATCCGCGAAGCTGTAGCCGAAACGAGAGATTACAGCTACTTCTTTACACGTGCTACAACAAAAGTATTCTACCTTGTAGTCGTTACAGATTTTTCAGTACAAACCTTCGTTCTCGCGCATCGAGGATTTGCTGCCCGAAGGTCTGTCCCCCAACAAACGATATGTGATAATGCTTCTACGTACCTGTTAGCTGCTGAAGAGGTCACCGCACTGTTTCCATCCCAAATATTAAAAGCGTCACTGAGCAAACAGGGTGTAGATTGGCGCTTCATGCCCAAAAGAGCGCCTTAGCATGGAGGATTCTGGGAAAGGTTAATAGGTGTCACCCTCAGAGCTTTTCAGGGATAATTTACAACACTGGTTGGAGGACTGTGCTAGACTGCTTAACGTGCAGTTTACAAGTAATGAAGGAATGAGTAATGATGCCCCCATACATAAGTGTGAAAGTCAGATAGACCACTACACGGGCACTACGTGCCCTACTCTTTTACGAAGAAGAGAAGGGTCCAACAGATTTTTTACATGTGCAAGGGCTTGTGAGACTGGGACTACAGTTTATCGTCCTTATCCGAGAAG